GGTCACCTCTCTACTCTTCTCTGCTTTTCTGGAATTTGGGAACTTGTATGGCCCAGGGCTTCGGCTCTCCCCCACTCACCTCACTCCCAAATCCCTGACACCTCCTCCCCCAAGCTAATTGTCAGTTGACCTTATCTGCTCCTTCACTTAGCGTGAAAAACAGTCTTGGTTGGCCCAGGACTGAGGGTTTCCTAGGACACAGGATTTGCAATGCTGAGAAAGTCCCAGGTAAACCAAGATGGTGAGTCACTAAAATTCCATCGTTTCCTAACCTTTCAAGGACATGATTCTAGCCAGACTCCTCCCTCTATGCTATGTCATCCATCTTCCCTTTTGTAGCATAAACTTATTTCTAGCATATACTTCATATTTTTCACATTTAAAAGCAATAATAAAATAAAAACTCTCAGTTCTCTGATCAGTCACACCCCATTCCTTTACTCCCTTTCACGACAGAACGCCCCAACAGAGCACTCTGTTCTCATTGCCTATAGCTCCTCCCCTGTTACTGTGTCTTAAACCCGCTCCAATCAGCCTTCACCCCGACCATGCCCCCCAGCCCTCAAAAAAACACATGCAGCTAAATCCCATGTGCTCAGGTTTCCTCCTTCTTGGCTGTCAGTGGTTTTCATCAGGTTGACCACTCCCTCCTTGTCACTGTCCTAGGCTGGATTTCAAGACCCTCTGCTCTTGTTCCTTGTCCTCCTTGGCTGTGCCTTGACCATGCCTTCTCAATGTGTTTCTCTATTTCTCCTCATCTCTTTGATGGGTAACGTGGAGGGCCTCAGGGCTCCACCCTGGTTCCACACCAACATTATCAACACCTTGGCCCATGCCGCCATCTTGTTTGAAAGATCATAATAATGATCCTAGCTGGTCTCCCCCTGCCTCCACAGCTGGGACTCTGCTCAGGTCAGTTTGTGTTAACGGCTCAGGTAAGATCCCTGAGAACTGAAATAGTCACAGCCCCTGATTTAAAGGAGCTCACTGCTTAGATGAGCGGTGGGAGATGTTTTTTATGGAAAGAGTGAATAACAATTCAAGGCAATAGGTGATCGATTGCCAAGGTGTGTGGCGAGAACACTTTGCGCTGGGTTAAGACATGTCGTCCACAGTGTCTACCTGTGTCACTTGTGGATTTCCTCCCTGTCCAGGCACAAGTCACTGAAGTGATTAAAGAGTAACTCAGGGTGATGCTGAGGCTGAATTACAGAATATTTTCAAAGGAATGCCATTGCATTATTTTCAGTATGTGAATTCTGACACCATGGAATGCTAAGCAGCAGGCTCAGTGGAAGAACGTGCCCTTATCTGCAATGGCTCTGGTAGAGGTCATTATAAATCACGTCAAGTGGCTGCTTTTAACTAAGCAGAAGCAGAAAGTGGGCTTGAAGTAGGCGATTATGGCATATGTGTGACTTCTCAGGCTGCCAGGAAAAGAAAGAGTGGGGCCTCCTCTCTTGCCACTTCCTGAGCTGCTTCACACAGTGGTGTATCTTTTATTATAAGAGATATGATAAATAAATACCAGGCTTCACACTGCTGATACTGCCATACTTAGTCACAACAACGTGGGAGCCAGGTCTCCCCAAAAAGTTACTTCAAATGACAGTTTTCTTTTTTTTTCTAATGCATTTACTCATTTCATACATGTTTGCTGAGCACTTTCTTCAGTCTAGAAATTAGTCTAAGTACTAGATATACAATGATGAACTAAGCAGACACGATCCTTTCCCCATGAACTGACATGGGAACATTATATA